TGTTTATGCTACTAAATTGTAGCTTATGTGAAACGTTGGTATTTTTAGCACAGCGCCATCTGTGAGATATTAATGTCAGACAGTATTACAATTGTCTGTAAAAACTGATTTAAGGCGCCGTCTGTTTTAAATTTATGAAACTTACAATTAATAAAAAAAATCAACATAAGAAATCCTTTACTGTTAATTAATAAATATTGCGACCATTAATCGAAATAAAAAGCATCCTATCTTTCAAGTTGGATCAAACTGCACACGGTGTGAAAATTTAAGTTAAAATCGGTTAAGTAGTTTAGGAGTCCATCGCGGACAAACAATGTGACACGTGATTTATATATATTAATATTATTATAAGAAGCAAAAACTCTGTATCAATCAATAAAAAAAATTTATACATACTACTATATATTTATCACACGCACATATATACAGTCTTTTGTTTATTGTTAAAGTCTGAGGTCAAATTGAGTACAGAAATATTGTATTCTCTTTAATACTACCTAGGCGGCACTGAAAATTCCGGGAATTAACGAAATGACACCACATTACTATTTAAAAATGTATTTATTGCTTTTCGAAGTATTCTCCGCGAAATTTGACACATTTTTCCATACGATGGAACCAATCATTGAAGCAACCATTCCATTCGGAAGTTGGGGTCTCCAAAATGGCCGTTTTGTAGGCGTCCACAGCTTCTTCAGGTGATGAAAATCTCTGTCCACGCAATTTATTCTTTATTTTAGGGAAAGTATAGAAATCATTAGGGCTTAGGTCGGGGCTGTACGGCGGATGGTCTAATAATTCTATGTTTTCTTGCTCTAAAAACTCTTTTGTTCTGTGCGCGGTGTGAGAACTCGCATTGTCGTGATGGAGGATGATGCGGCGGTTGCAGTTCTCTTTACGGAGTTCAGAAACGACCTGTGGCAAACAAATGCTAGCATACCATTCTGCATTAACCGTTCTTTGTCCCTCAAGAGGAATAGTCGTAACATGGCCGGTTTTGGAGACAAACGTGGCCACCATTTTTTTTGCAACACTCCGTGAACGAACAATTTTTGTTGGCTTTAACTCATTTTCGAACACCCAAACTCGTGACTGGTTTTTTGTTTCGGGTTCGTACGCGTATATCCAGGATTCGTCACCTGATACAATGTTGTATACAGCATTTGAGGATCCTGCGTGGAATCTTTCGAGAGTTCTGACGCACCAAGTAACGCGAGCCGCTTTTTGCTCTTCACAGAGCGAATGCGGTATCCATCGGGAAAACAACTTTTTTACACCTAATTGTTCATGCAAGATTATTTGTATTTGACTCATGCCAATGTCTAAAGTTGCCTGAATTTCGCGGTATGTCACATGTCGATCTTCCTCAATCAGCTTACGCACAGCATCAACGTTTTCTTGGGTGACTGCAGTTTTTGGACGACCTTGACGGGGATCATCACTGAGCTTGACACGTCCACGTTGAAACTCAGCAAACTAGCGATAAATTGTGGTTTTGGATGGGGCTTCATCACCAAATGCAGAAATTATCCGGTCAACACACTGTTTTTGTGTTAAACCACTTCGAAAGTTATAATAAATCATCGCTCTTGAATTTTCTCGATTTAATTCCATTTTCTCAACGACTAAACAAGTTTGACAAAACCTCGTGACAAGACCGAGAATCTTTTTTTAAATAAATAAATGGTATTCGATTTTTAAAACCAAGGAGTTTTCAATTAAAAAGATTTTAATATGACAGGAACAGTGGAAATATTCCATTCCCGATACTTTTAGTGCAGCCCTCGTATTTGACATTAACCTTGCGAAATTGCTATAATAGATGTATCGTCATTGACAATAGAACCTTAATAATTTGAAAACTTATAATTTAAATTAATAATTATGGCCGGAGTTCGACCACTGGATGACCACTACTTATGTTACAATTTCACTAATGCATTGACGTATTAAGTTATGCTATAATTGCTTTAAAAAAGTAAAAAAGCGATATGGCTAAATATTTATAATATTCAGTATCTTTTTTTATGATTGAAAGTTTACTGACGGCTCGAAGGCCGTTCCGGTTTCACCAGGACAGGTGGGCGAGCAAAAGCTCAGCCAGGAGGGGTGGGATTTGCTAACAACTGCCCGAGCGCCTCCGAAGGAGACCTAAAAACTCAAGAGCAATTGCTTCGCGAATGAATCTACTACCGGATCGAAATCGCGACCCGCTGAGAAGATCCGGCGAGAAACTCAGCGGGCTGATGCATGGATTAGGTTGCACGTCGACCTCTTTGTCGAATTCGACGAGTACGGTTACTCTTCAATATCATTTTCTAAGGAGGTATATAATATTTACGTTATTTCAAATTCACGTATTATTTCGTTATACTGAAAATAAACCATTTCAAGATTTATATTATGGACACAGACTTACATTTTTGAGAAGATTTAATTGATGTGTATTTAAAGTTAAGACATCTATGAAGTTATGAAACCAATTTCCTTAAGTGAGAAGCTAACGTACTTAAGAAATTACTACAACTTACTGTTTAAACTAGGCTCTCTTATCCAAGGAATACGTATTAAGCAGAGGCTTTTAATCCAATTGCTTTTGTCGGTTTTCACTTTAAACTGGTCGATCATCTCATTAAATTGCTTTAGATGGGCAGTTTTTTTAATTGCCTTTGTAACTGGTGGTAGGACTTCTTGTGAGTCCGCACGAGTAGGTACCACCACCCCGCCTATTTCTGCCGTGAAGCAGTAATGCGTTTCGGTTTGAAGGGTGGGGCAGCCGTTGTAACTATACTGTGACCTTAGAACTTATATCTCAAGGGCGTGGCGCATTTACGTTGTGCATGTCTATGAGCTCCAGTAACCACTTAACACCAGGTGGGCTGTAAGCTCGTCCATCCATATAAGCAATAAAATAAAATTTGTAAGCACACGAGTATACGGCCCAACATATGGTGAGTGTCCCCCATTGGACTTTAGCAAAGTCAGGGGCAGAGCCAAGCCCCTGCCTACCGCTAAGTACTCTCCACAAGCCTCGTTTGAAGACGGACATGTCAAAGCGCTCGGGAAACACCGTGGAGGGGAGCTCATACCAAAGCCGGATGGTACGTGCCAAGTAAAGATCTTTGGAAATGCACTGTGGATTTTTTTATTGATGTTGTAGGTAGGTGTTACTGTTAATTAGGCGTTTTGTGACCATGCCCGGGTAGGTACTACCACTCCACCTATATCTGCCGCGAAACAATCATGTGTTCGGCTTATAGAGTGGGTCAGCCGTTCTGCTGAAAAATGAGACTTAAAACTTATGTCTCAAGTTAGATAGCAGTATTTACGTTGTCAACGTCTATGAGATTCGGTAACCACTTATCAACACTATACTGAGAACTTAGAACCCATATGTCAATATGGGTGGCGGCATTTACGTTGTAGATGTCTATGGACTCCAGTAACCAATTAAAATCAGGTGGACCGTGAGCTCGTCTGCCCATCTAAGCAATAAAAAAAGAATTATCGTACGTCCCATCTGATCTAGTCACCATTGAGGTTCTGTATCGACAATGCTTGAGGCATAACTAAATCACTGTTTAAAATTAGGTTAAGAATCAATTATAACCTAAATATTATATTATTTGAACATGAATGGTGGAATGATGGTATTTTGCATCCATGTGTGCAGAAAAAATTGATTTCTTCATTTTATTGCTTAGATGGATTGACGAGTTCACGGCCCATCTGGTGCTAAGTGGTTACCGGAGCCCATAGACATCTACAAAGTAAAAGCCACCACCCACCTCGGGACATGAGTTCTAAGGTCTCAGTTTTTACAGTAACAACGGCTGCCTCATCCTTCAAACCGAAACGCCAGTGGTACCTATCCGTGCGGACTCACAAGACGTTCGATCACCAGTAAAAATGAGGTCGGAAAAGTTCAGCGTTACCATTTGAAATCGTCGTGGCCTAAAGGATAAGACGTCCGGTGCATTCGTATCTTTTTTTGTTTTTTTTTTTTTTTTTTTTTNCTTAGATGTGTGGACGAGCTCACAGCCCACCTGGTGTTAAGTGGTTACTGGAGCCCATAGACATCTACAACGTAAATGCGCCACACACCTTGAGATATAGTTCTAAGGTCTCAGTATAGTCACAACGGCTGCCCCACCCTTCAAACCGAAACGCATTACTGCTTCACGGCAGAAATAGGCGGGGCAGTGGTACCTACCCGTGCGGACTCACAAGAGGTCCTACCACCAGTAAAAGTATCTACCGATGCAACGGTGTTCGAATCCCGCAGGCGGGTGCCAATTTTTCTAATGAAATACGTACTTAACAAATATTCACGATTGACTTCCACGGCAAAGGAATAACATCGTGTAATAAAAATCAAACCCGCAAAATTATAATTTGTGTAATTACTGGTGGTAGGACTTCTTGTGAGTCCGCACGGGTAGGTTCCACCATCCTGCCTATTTCGTCCGTGAAGCAGTAATGCGTTTCGGTTTGAAGGGTGGGGCAGCCGTTGTAACCATACTGAGACCTTAGAACTTATTACGTATTTACGTTGAAAATGTCTTTGGGGTCCAGTAACCACTTAACACCAAGTGGGCTGTGAGGTCGGCCGCCCATAAAAAAAAAAAAAAAGAAAAGCCGTGAACTCATTGTTGCATTAATACAAAATCAACACTCTCTTTTATTTTAATTCACAAAAAAGAACAACGGAATTTAATCGAGTTACAACAAATTAAAATTCTACAGTGTCCTCTAGTCTTAATGATGGCGGTTGTAACCAGAATATTTCTCATTTTTAATCCTTTCAAGCATCCTAATTAATACGGGCAGAACCGACATTCAGCGCGAGTTAAGGCAACTGATTGAGCACCAATTATGGCCTATTGTGTTAGTTAGGCAACTTATTCTGATGCTCAACTGGTTAATTAATTTGTGATTGAGGAAAAATGGCAGGCTATCAATTTACTAAGAGGCTGAGAGGGTAGTTGTGTGTTGAAACGAAAATACTGTGTTTTTGTGGAAATTGTGTAAAATAAGAAAAAATTACGGCACCATTATTTATATGATTTATTCTAACAACTGATTGTACCTACCAGCTGGACAAGTGTTATCCTTACAATTAATTACTTCTACACACTTCACTGCTCTGTTACTATGAATCCACTTGAATCTTCACTGGCTGAGATGTCAGAGCTGTTTAATGCACGTATGGCGAAGTTCGAAGCCCAGCTCAACAAGTCTCCAGAACCATCAACCACATCATCAAGTTTGGCATTGGAATTTTCGTCATTTCGGGCATTCATTACTGAGGCACTTAATAACTTGCAACAGCAGGTGGAGATGCTCGCGCGCATGCAGGATAATACAGAGACTCGCAGCCGTAGAAAAATGTTGATCATTCACGGAGTAGCTGAGACTAAGGGTGAGCAAATTGAACAGGTATTGTCTAATTTCATAGGCAGTCATCTTGCTTTGGCCGAGTTCTCCTCAGCTGATATTAGAAGATGTCACCGTATGAATAGATTGTCAACATCCGAAGGCTCTCGTCCCATACTGATAAAATTCCAAACGTATGAAATGCGCAGTCAAGTTTGGTTTTCTAAAACAAAACTAAAGGGTACCGGCTTTACTATTTCGGAGTTTCTGACGAAAGCGCGGCACGACATTTTCATGGCTGCACGGAGTAGATTCGGCATGAAGAAGGTCTGGACCAAGGATGGCTGTGTCTACATTTTGGGAGCGGATGGCATCAAACATCGCGTCGTTACACATCGAGATCTTAATCATCTTCAAAAGAACACATCGGAGGCAGTCCCTGAGGTTGATGCTCATAAGCGTGCTGTTACAAAACCGGCTGTGGTAAAGGCAAAGCGCGCTGCTGCTAGAAAGTGATAGTGATAATCTTGCTTCTTGTTTGTTTCCTTTCTTGTGTATAACAGGATTAACAGGTGACAAA